TTTCTCTGCACGTGCTGCGTAAAGTTTCGCGGCACCCCAAAAAAACGTTTCTCGTTACACTACTAGTGCTTGGTATTGAAGATGTACTAACATATACGGCGGCAGTGGCAAATGATACACTTAGCTTAACTGTAAATAATGTCAAAAAACATGTTTCCAGCGCGCAAGTAAGGTCACCTATCAGAACGTCAATTTAAGAAATAAAATGACGAAAATTTTAGATAGTAAGTTTACAATTCTGACAGTTTACAGCCATATGGATGTGCTACTGTTGTGGAGCTACACGATTCATAAGTCAGAGGAAGACTTAACGCTCAACGAGCACTTAGTTCTAAGGAAATAGACTCAATGAGTCAACGAGCGTAACGCTTATGGTCCTTGTTCCAGGGGACAAAACGATATAATGAATCGACAGCACTTAGTGCTCAAGAGTAACTAGCTATCTCAGGGAGGTGTTGCTAACTCTTAGTGATTAGCGATCAACGATCAAAGATGCCTTGCAAGGCACGTGTCTTTAGGAGCAAAAGAGGAACTGAATTTTCATGTACATTTACACCTACAGAATACCTTAGCCTAAGCAAGTACAACTAACATCTCTCCTATCTAGTGGCTAACACCAGTCAGCCCCACTAAACCGATAAGATATTCTAAATCTCTTTCAGTCGGATATCTTCCGTGTGTCCAAGACACAGGGTACCAGGTACCCAACAACGTGTAGCCCCGTCACACCCTCCCCCACCAGACTGAAGTTTCCTTAAACGTCAATCGAACCTCGTCCCAATCAAACATCCTCTTCGAACTGTGTTCAATCACGAGGTTAGTGCAGTTGCGTCTCATTACGGTCTTGTAAAGCTCCTAGCACGATGTCCTCATCACGTAGTGAGTCAAAGACTTTCAGTGATCACCTCGAAATAGGACAGGGTTTGGACTACGGTAGAGATACTGGTGTCCCGGGTGATGCAGGGACAATGTCCGATACACCCATGTCTGAGGTACAACCATTTTCCCTGAACGTGATGATGAGAATTCACATTGGTGCCGCGCTTAATCCCCGGTTCGGATGATAACATCATCACGAAGTCGCTCGATGAGCAACAACTGATAATTTTTGAACTAGGAGAAGGCGCTCGGATTCAAGCGCAAATGGTCCAAACCCTCGAGCACCAACGTAACTATGTATGCATTACACTCAGTGTGAAGGAACTCTTGCGTCAAGCAGCCGGCCAATCGTTGGCAACGTGGAGCATTGGCCACAGGCCTTAATTTTCTGAGGAGGTGACGGGCGGTAAGGAGCTTCGCGAGAGGTACCTGGAACCTCTCCTAACGACTTAAGGTCACTACGAGGCACGTCTTGATATGCAAGCACGCGGTGCACCGGTCCCACCGATAAAGGGTATACCCAATCTCCTTTCTGCAGGCAAAACAGAGAGCGAAAAAGACAATGCCTTTGTCCGCTTGGTTCACCGCATACGTCGCCTTAGCAGTATGTCTGCTCTGAGAGCTAGTGCCAATGTTGCTGATGCGCCTCTCGAACGAAAGCTTCGGCATGACTATGCCAAGCTTAAGGCCAGAGGCCAATTGCATGATCCCACGCGATATGCTCTGGCTACTACGGTAGCCGCGGGTGCTGGTCAAACTATGACCACCAACCCGCCAGCCCACACAACTAGTGGTGGGAAACGGCCTCGATCTCAAGATGACCTTGTCCACGATGTTCAAAAAATGTTTAAAGCATAAGGGCGATCTTGCCGACAGGTTACAACGTACCTATCAGTTCTCAGACTCAGGGTACCCATGCCACTTTACCAGATACTGGTAGTGGCCATGACGACGCATCGTTTCAGTAGTCTCTAAACATTAAACTGACGACACCCATGCTCATCGAGCAGCGTCGGTGGTGGCCATTGTACAGGTGCCAGTCCACGAAAAATTGGTTCTCGAATTGAGGGGTCTTTAAGGGACCCTGGGAAAAATCCAATGCATGCTGAATGCGATGCAGAGCCACCTCCAGGCGATGGAGCGTGCTTAAACGCGGAGCGAGACGTAGCTGGACTTTCTCATTCGCTTACAGCAATCCGGGCCACCGCCCTCGTTGTCGGCGCAAGCGTCTCAAAATTTACATGGGAAGGATCCCAAAACGGCTTAAGAAAGCCTACGTAGAACGCTGCGTGTGTGCGCAATTCGCGTGAAAGATTAAGCGCTTACGCAACCCTTCTTGACGGTGTCTGTAAACAGTCCAATGAAGTTTGGACGCAACTTTGTCTTGAAGACAGCAGACACTATATCTGTAGGTAGATTTTTAGCATCGAGTTACACTTGGTCTCAGACCTCTTACTTTTTATTTTAACTTCTGCCTTTGGCATCATCTTGTTGTTTTTGTCGATCTTGGCTATCAGCCATTGCGCCATGCACATGTTGTAAGACATTCAATTGATTTGCGAGAAACTCGCATACTTGTTTTTGAACAGGAGCAAGGCTGATATCAGCAAGCCAATCGGCAATATCTCCCCCACCAAGCCCTGACCCAAAGAGTGGTAGCGTTAACGGAACGCGAGGGTGGGTGAGGCCGTTTATGTAAAACGGAGTAACCCTGTGGAGTCAGGAATAGCATTGTTCAATTCAAATTCAACAACAGGGAGATTTGAGCTCCAACGCCGTGGCATAACAGCGCAAACACTGCGCAAAATTTCATTGGTGGCGCGATTAACGCGCTCATTTTGACCACCGGTCTGCGAATTGTTCGCCGTGGATCTGTCCAATCGGGTGCCGAGAACCTTAAAGATAGGTTTTTAAAAATTTCCAGTGAAACGGAGATCTCTATCCAACACATGTGCCACAGTCAAACCATGTTGTCGAAACACACGATCGATTAACAGCTTTGCTGTGCCTTCAGCATCATTCTTTTCCGGCACAGCCGCTAAATGAGCCATCTTGCTCATACGGTCAAAATATACCACAGTTTCAGCGTTGCCTTCTGAATCTTTCGGTAGGCCGAACACAACATCCATACTCACGAATTCCCAACACCCAGTGAGAACAGGCAGAACAGTTTGCGGCGCAGCCGTATGTGCTGAGAGTTTGACTCGTTGACACGTTTCGCACGTACGCACATTTTTACTCACCCATTTGTACAGATTAGGCCACCAATACGTCTAGACAAGTGAGATATAGGTAATCTCACTACCGAGACGACCACTTAAATCAGTGCTATGTGCTTCAAAGAGGATTCGATGCTCCAATTCCTCATAATGAGTAACGGCGATACAAAGGGTATCCTCAATAATCGTGCGATAGCACGTCATGCCATCATCTATGGAATGTCGATGTAGTCTCGTACGTAAACGTGCCGAAAATGTTCTGTCCAAATTAATAATTCGTCGCTCCCAAGAGCCCATAGCAAAGCTACAAATTGTTCATCCTTTGCATAATCTGCACGGATAAAGTCAGGAACTGATGACGACAGTGTCGTAATATGAGCAAGCTTATAGTCAGGTCGACGCGATAGCGCGTCAGCCAAGGCACATTGATTTCCTGGCTTGTACTTCACCTCGAAGTTATATACAGCAAATGAGTAGATCCAACAAACCATTCTTTGAGAGAGATGTGGCGACTGTGTCGCAGTGCGCAGTGCCTCATGACCTGCCTAGATCACAAGTGGCTTTGAGCCGAGCAGATGTACTCAGAATTTGACTAAAGCATACTTCAGAGCAAGAATCTCTTAGTCATGAATTGAATCGTTCTTTTCAGCAGCTTTAAGCTGGCAAGACTCAAACGCAATGACGCGCTCGCGTCCATCAATATCTGTTTAATAATGCACTGCCAATGGCAATGTTAGACGCATCACAAACGACACTAAGTGGCCGATCAGGATCGGGCGAAGACAATGTTTGCGCATGAAGGAGACTCTTCTTAACTTCTTCAAGAGCATCGTGCTCGACATGACCCCAGCACCAATCCACATCCTACTTCAGGAGATAAGATAATGGCCTAGCCATGTCTGCGCAATTCGCACTATACTTATGCAAGTAATTGGCAAGGCCAAGACACTAACGCAAGTCTTTTATTCACTGGAAACCGGACAGTCGACTATGGACTTTATCTTAGCGGTACCCGCTAGAAAGCCTCGCTTCCCAACGAAGCACCCGAGAAAGGGAATCTCTTCTGCATTTAAGGTGCACTTTAACGTATTAGCGTACGATTTGATTCGTGCGCATGCACTCGTGCACCTCTCGTAGATGATCAATGCGGTTATCCACATCTGATCGCCCATTCATTGCACGACTATGGACAAAAATGTCATCAAAGTACGTTTGTGCATAGCCTTGATGAGGTCTGAATAGTTGCTTTACCAACCGGTTAAATGTAGCCGGGGCGTTAGATAGCCCTTGTGGCATAACGAGCCACCTTCAGAGCATACCGCTCGGAGTATTGATCGCTGTTAGCGGAATATCTCTTGCTCGCATGAGCAGCTGGCAATAACCATCGACTAAGTCGAGTGCACTGTACAATGTGCATCCTTCCATATTGTTCTGAAGAACATCCTTTCTAGGAATAGGCGTCTGAGCTGGTAAAGTGGCTGCATTAAGCTTATTGTAAGCATGCACAATGCGCCACTTGCCATTTGGCTTTTTGACACAAAGTGAAGGTGTTGAATGGGGACACATACTCTCACTAACCACTCCAGCCGCGTGCTTAGCACAAAAAAATTCGTCAATGACGTCACACTGTTCTTTAGGCAAAGGCCACTGCCGTGTTACACAGTATTAAGTTCAAGGAACTAAGTCAATCTCATGACGTACCCCTTTATCGGGAGGTAAGGCAGAAGGTGGGTTGTGACACACCACATCTTGAAATTTCTTAACTAAAGGATAGAACGGATCCAAAGGATCTTTGAGGATCGAAGATCCACTTCGTGCACTAAGTGCCGCCTTTGTATCCTCTAGGAAAGACTCATCCATAAACGAGGACGAGTTCAACTCAGTATCAGGTCTAATGACTGCTTATTCGGATAATTCTCCTGCCTTCAAGGCCTGGCTAAACTCGCCATCAGACATTTCATCTAGCTCACAAAGAGCGTCCAAAGATGGAATGGTTTCAAGGAAAACACTGCCATTAACATGACCAGTCACTCCATTAACAAGTGAATATAGTGTATTGCTAATCTCACTATGTGACTGTGAGGACGCCTGGCGCTTTACAGCTGCTACTCGGCGTCTCGATTGTCTCTTCGAGACCTTACACCCCTTAGGGGTCAGGACAATATTGTTTCCATTGTTACTACCAACCATAGTACGCTCTACACGAGAGCTTTTGTCTTGACCGACATTAGGTGTGGTGCCCTCACGGCCGTCCACACTATACGGCGTATCTCCAACAGTGTCACTACTGACATTAGGTGTGGTGCCCTTACGGCCGCCCACACTATACGGCGTATCGCCAACAACGCTATTACCGGCGTTAAGCGTGGTGCCCTCACGGCCGTTCACTCTATACGGCGTATCGCCAGCAATATCATTACTGACATTAGGTGTGGTGCCCTCACGGCCGCCCACACCATATGGCGAATCGCCAACAACGCCATTACCGACATTCAGTGCGGTGCTCTCACGGCCGACCGCACTCGGTGTAATTTCACGTGCCACCATACACACATCAAAGGAATCACGTCCTTGATCACTCGGCCCTAGGCCAACCATGCTTTCAGCATGCAGTGACTCGTTATCACAACGAGTACCACTCAACGGAGTACGTGCCGTTTCACTAGTTTTAGACGAGCTAGGCTCGAAACTTATGATTTTAACATTGGAGTTAGATAACTCGGACATTACAATATCCAGCACATTGACATCTTCTGTCAAAGGCTCGCGCCAATAGCGCTTCTGCTGCCTAGCAAAGGTGGGTTCATGACTCTCCAAAATTCGCTAGGAACATTGCGCGTAGCGCCTAAGGTCTTGGACCTCCAATCAATCCATGGCTCATGGCGCTCAAGCCAAGCCATACCTAGGATGAGATCCTATCTCGAATCCAAATCTAGGACAAGACAGCGCTCAATACTGTCAAAGTCTAAAAACTTTATACCTAAGTTCAATGGAACTTTAGGCACCGTTACGCGACTTCCAGTCGCTAAACGAACCGTGATAGAATCACCCTCATGCGCTGTAAGCGCCTCAGCATAACGCTGACTTCCCTCAAGGGAACGGCGTCGAGCATAATTGCAAGACGCTCCAGAATCGATCAATATAGACCAAGGCCACTCAAATCCCTTGTTTTTCGCCTCGGCGACCAACAAGCCAGACTTGTATCCACGCACCATACCCGTAGGTATGGTACTCTTTGGGGCTAAGCCCTGCATTCCTTTACCTTCTAAAGGTGTAACAGATCACAATTCTTCCCCAGTAGGGCGCCCCGCGCCTACTGGGTGTCGGCATTTCCCCGTGCCATGCCAGACTTCTGACTCGGGCTCGAGTGTTGGCTCGTAGTCTGGCGTTGCTTACGCAAAGGGCAACCAGGCCGCAAGTGTATAGTGCTTCCGCACGTAAAGCATCGTCGTACGACGTGTTGCTGCTCAGCAGCTTGAAGCTCAGCTTCACCTTCATCTTCAGCATAGCTGAGATCCATCGGTTCCGGACTATTATAGGCCGTGGTACCCGAGTAGTTTGCTCTCACAGAGCGCGGATTGAATCCATTCCAACCAAGTCTGGCCGACTTGAAGTTATGCTCAGCATTAAGAGCAATTTTCACAGCCTCTTCAAACGTAGAGGGGTGAAACCGAAAACCCTCGGTTCTGGCAATGCCATTACGTAGACCTTCCATGAAGATTGTCACATGGACTGCTTCAGGCAAAGGGTCAGACTGCATTGCAGCCATGAGCGTTCGCAGCTCTTGGACATAGTCCGATAATTCATTCTTGCCCTGGCGGGTAGAAAGAAAGCGTGAGCGCACGCGGTAAGCCTGGTTAGGTGGAGAAACACCTGTACCAATTGTAACTTGAGCGACTCTCATGTGGGAAACGCTATGTCCACCGACGTGCTACACGTCAAGGCCCATTCTCTAGCTCTACCATCGAGCTTCGAGATAGCCAGCGAGACCTGTTGATGTTCAAGCGTGATCAGACCTGATCTCATGGCTATCTCGATCTCACGAATCCAGAGGATGAGGTTCTCACCCTCCTTACCGGAGTAGTTTTTCACTTCCACTCTAAGTGTACGAGGCCTAGCATCGTCGTCTGGTACAGACACATAGCGTGTAGGCGTATCCGATGCTACTTGGTCATGGACCTGCTCTAGAAGGGTCGCTTCATATTGCATGGAGCTATTAACACGTGCATTTAGCACCTTAAGGCCTTGTGGGACAAGAAATTCCGCGTACTCTGGACCCAAAGATGCGGTCAGCTTATCAAGCGCGACCTTTTAAGCCTCAGATAGGGGAGTGAAATTTTCCATCCTCACAGAGGATCAGTCTTGAAGACTCAGGCGTAGATTGAATACGATTGCTACCAAGTGTAGCGGAGCTACACAGCTTCTTAAGTTACAGGAAGACTTAACGCTCAACGAGCACTTAGTTCTAAGGAAATAGACTCAATGAGTCAACGAGCGTAACGCTTATGGTCCTTGTTCCAGGGGACAAAACGATTCAATGAATCGACAGCACTTAGTGCTCAAGAGTAACTAGCTATCTCAGGGAGGTGTTGCTAACTCTAAGTGATTAGCGATCAACGATCAAAGATGCCTTGCAAGGCACGTGTCTTTTGGAGCAAAAGAGGAACTGAATTTTCATGTACATTTGCACCTATAGAATACCTTAGCCTAAGTTAGTACAACTAACATCTCTCCTATCTAGTGGCTAACACCAGTCAGCCCCACAAAACCGATAAGATATTCTAAATCTCTTTCAGTCGGATATCTTCCGTGTGTCCACGACACAGATTACCAGGTACCCAACAACGTATAATTCCGTTACAGCTACAGCCGGCTCAACCTCCTGGTGGTGGTCTACTCCATCAAGGGGATTGGAAGTGTAGCGCCGAGTGAATGTACAAATTTTTACATGATGGCAACCGGAAGAGCTCGAAAGCGACGAAGAAGTTTCCAGAGTCAAGAGAAATTTTATGGCACGTTCTTAAATAACAAGAATCGCTGGTCCTGGCAAATTGGTGCTTCCATTCCACCGCTGCTAACTAAATGTCGTAAAACGACTTTTCATAACGAGCGTCAATTTGCACTGTGTCGCAGCGAATGGAAGATGCATCAAAGATATGGAGAAACATATTTCAACACTTTTTGTCATCCGAATTTGAGCTAAATTGCTAGACTGTATCATGGCTTGAATGTCTTTTAGATTAAATCTTGAAACTGCAGATGGCGTTTTAGCTGAAGTGCCGCGATACGCTTAAGCTGATGAACAGGTTGAAGTGGAAAGTCAAAACATGAATGCGGTTGACTTAATGAGCGAATGAAGGCGCACGGTCCGACTCTCAGTTGCGCAAGGTTATTATACCCGCATAGTAGACTGGTACACAATACGCGACTAGATGCCGATACAGCACAACGAAAGTGCCGATCTCATGTAGGAAAAGAAGGGCTATTCTATTGCGTACTTCCTAAACTCTTGGTAAAGTTACGCCACGTTGAATCCGATCTATTGACACGCATTCTGTGCGAGTATTCACGGTGATTAAAGCTGCTCCTGGTAGAAGTCGACTTATAACAAACAAACAATTACAATCGCATTTTTTATGTAGTTTAATGATCAGAGGTAGAGTGTGAGGGCGAATTCGCAAGAAAACGAAAGTTTAACCTGAGAAAACAAGAGCACAGCAACCAATTTTAAACTGTAGATTCGTATCTACATTTGAAGCGTCGAGGGCAAATGCAACTTCGGAAGCGATTTACGTTCCTCGCCCTTATTTTACCTGCCCTATGTAAACATTGTTGGCTTGCCTCATCACACATAGAACAATTAATCCTAGTGAACAGGGGCGGCCAAAATGGATGTCAACAGTAGTAACACGACCACGGCGCCGTTGCCAACTTCAACTACGATCATAAACTTCAGCGTGATGATGATGATGATGCTCAACGGCCCCACGGGTGCTGTTATCCTGCTGTCGTTCATCATCCGCAAAAGTTGCTTCAGTGCTCATTAATTTTGCACAGTGTGATTGACGATCAGTAATCAAGGTACATGCTAGAAGACGGCTACGAGCAGGACAGTGGACGTGTCGATCTGTATATGTGTGTCGACATAAGTCACGATCTGTGGCCAAAATAATTGACTGTGTTGTTGTGCGTGGACGATGTCAACGTCATACCAACGCCCTTGCATTCCTCTTCCGAGTCACGATACATTGAAATCGTCCACATACAACAACACAGCCACATATTTCGGTCACAGGTCGTGACTTATGTCGACACACATGTACAGATCGACACGTCCACTGTCCTGCTCGTAGCTGTCTTCCATAATGCACCTTTGATTACTGGCCTTCAATTGGCTGCCATCAGCCGGCGACCATATCCTTCAAAGCATGGCAGAACCCAAACCTCGCTCGGAGTTCCCTTCCACGCTCGTGACGAAAACGTGATCGAAAATCACGCGGACTTTTCAACCACCAGCTCGTCCGCTCAATCAACGGAAGTAGTCACTCGGACGCTACGTGACGAACCCACTCGTCGCAACACCAGCCCACCCGCTAGCTTTTCCATCTACCCCACTCACTAACCAACTTGCACTACCACACCACCACGTAGCAAGCAAGTACGCGGCCTCTCTCTGACTAACTGACCGACTCGATTATGAAGTTTACTGCTCTCGCCGTCACCACGCTCGACGCCGCAGCAAGCGTCGCATCATCCGCCACCGACTACTAGCCAGCACTCTGAGAACTTGCTGCGCCGGGCTTTGCTGTACCCAACGCTGACACCCTTGCCGCGAACCCGACCGAGAAACAATCGCGTCCTGCTGAGGCTGCTGCAGCTGCGGACAAGAAGCCCGCTGCCATCGTCGACGCCGAAGGAAAGAAAATTAAAGAGTGGTGGGGAGGCTTGGGATGGAGACGTTTCAATAGTGGTTTCGGTGGCTGCGGTGGATGGGATGGCTACGACGTCGGATGATGATGGTGGAGGATACCACACATGTGGCACTTCGCGCTGGCTGCATCCTGCCACACACTCAGACGGATGCGCGAAGAGGACGACAATCACGCCGATCACAGATAATTTAGCACGTCCGAATTTATTTGTTCAGATCAACACATTCTCGTATCTGTAATGTGGCACCCTGAAGCTTGTACTGGTCACAGTACAAGCTACTTATTCTGATGACAGAATAAGGCGGTGCCTCGGAACTTCACGTACACTCGTACGTACAGAGGAAGACGGTAAGAAGAAGCGAGTACTTAGTTAGATGAAGATAAACAGTGATTTATTGCAGACATTAACTATACTGAATACAGTTCTACTTTTTACTTTAACCATGTCTAAATGCAAATGTGTATATCAACTATCTGCTCACCACTCATTGCGTGCTTCTGTCGTGGCGCGTCTTCGTTGGTTGATATAATGGCCTATATCAACCAATTAGGAACTACTCGTAAGTGCTGCAGAATATTTGTCCTTATGACAATATTCTGAGAATATAACTCTTATAGTTATATTCTATTAACAATTTCTTATAAATTGTTATGTAACGATTCACTCCGTTACATCACCCCCCCCCCTTAACCATCAGTCACTTTAGTGACTGATTAATTAAATGGATACTCGTCCCAAACCATTTGGGACAGGGTTTGCACTTGTTGGTCCGCGTCCACTTTCCAACATCTCATCGCATGGTTAACAAGCCCATGCGATGCGCGAGCAAGGCCGCTGAGAGCGCGTCCGCACGTCTCTGTGCGGACGCCGAAGCAGAAACCACAGCAACTGATGTCTCATCGGTTGCTGAAGCGACCCAGCCTGTGTCACTTGGTGATGCAGGCGCTGGTCATGAAGACACTCGTGTCTTCACAGAGTACGAGCTCGGTGTCTCGTACTCTCCTGATACAAATGACGGATCCGTATCGACGGCGATCGAATCCAAGCCGCCTGCCAAGCGTGGCATGGATGATGCTGTGCGTCGTAGCATCTTTGGTTCATCTGATGAATCAGATGAACCATCGCCGAAGCGAAGGCACTCGAGGTCGCGAGACTCGGGCGCTAATAGTGGTGTCGGTTCTCCTATGGACACCACTTCGCAACGAGGTGCCAGTACTTCTGTCGGCACATCGCAAGAAGAGCGGGACCGCAATGTCTTGCGTCTCGCCTCCGAGAAGAAGGCATGGATGCCTCCAAAATCCGTCATGGATCACTTGTCGGCGACGACGAGTGATCGTTATCGAACACAATTGTTCGATTCGTCAAGGATCCAACACCTTGACCCCAGCGCGAAAAACTATCGCGCTGAGAATGAATTCTTCATCGATGCTTTCTTCAAACATCGATGGTACAGTGGGAATCACAAACGTGATGGTCCCTCACTACTTCAGGCGTGGAACGCCTACATTCATAACCTTGAGGATGTAGGTCGTGACACTTAGAACGACAAACTTATCAAAGCTCGTGATAAGTTTGAAAAGCGAACCCCGACAGGTGCACGCTACAAGCTGCATCGTCTGTCAAGGGAGAAGGGATTACCCTGCCTCTCTTGGGGAGACTCGTGCCCGTGTTGTGTGAACAACTGTGCACGAGCACTTAAGGAGACTTACCTCCCTAATAGCCCATGGTGGCGCGTACGCATCTCTAGTGAGATGTACGAAGGGATTGACAACCTGAAATCACTTTATGACCGTGCCGGGAATCTTTTTTTCGGCGGTCCTTCTGCGGCACAGGATGTGCCGCGTCGTACTGCTCAACCAGACCCAGTACGTCGATCATTAGTTGGGAGCGGGGCTCCCAAGTATCCCAAGACGGGGGATAGCCGCGCCACCGGACGAGATGACTCTTCCGACGTCCGTTCACATCGCGGTGGTTCAACAGCTGCTCAACCAGATAGCACTGGCCACCGCGAGAGTCCTCTAATCGAGGCGGAGAAGGAGGAAAGACGCTCTCCACACAATCGTGGGGAAGAGTGTGTTCCCGAGAGCCTCTTTGATCGCGTAACGCAAGGGTTACGCGACGATCTCGAACATGAGCGGGACAGGCGTCTCCAACTGGCGGACACTGCCTCGAAGCATCGAGCTGAGTTTGCCTTTGCTCAGCTTGAAAAAGAGAGAGCTTTGACATATCTGCGTGACGAGCTAAGGGTAGCTCGTGGGGATATTGACCGATCTCGGGCTGAAATAACTGCTCTTCAGACCCTCGTTGAAATCCACCATCGGGAGCACAAGGCCCTCTGTGAGATACTTGAGCGCAAGAGCGTTCTTCATAGGAAGAAGCAGCGTACTGATGGTACGGCTTAAGCCGACCAACGTGAAACGTGGGATGCGTTTCGCATCTGACGTGGCAACTTGATCGTGTATGCATTGCCTAGGCGGTGCAATACACGAAATGGGACGATGTACTTGGGTAGAAGTTTACTACTACCCAAGTTAGTCATTACATGCTTTGGTAGATTAACCGTAGACAGTAGGACTAAGTCACCTTTACTAAATAAAAGAGTGTTTGCCCTTCCATTCTTGTCAGCGTTTGCTTCTGCTTATCCACCGCTTCGGCGATGGAGTCTTGCACAAAACGGACTACCGTTTCACGAGCCAGTATGAACTCATCTGATGACTCGTTAGCTTCAGTGCGCTGTGAGTGCACTGCAGAGACATCAATCTTTTCTTCAGTGAGGGCTTCCCCGCTCTCACTGGCATCATCTTCTTCGACATCGATGTTATCGATATCGGCATCAAACGCAATGACCTCATCGTCAGAGCGTGATGAGCGTGAACCAATTCGGTTTTTGCTCGCGCGAGTCCCTCCCCCCCTTAAACGAGAGATACACTCTAGTAAGGTGGGTACACGCGGATGGCGCAAGCCATTCACGTAAAACGGTGTAAGTGTCGTGGACGCATGCACCGAGTTGTTGATGGCAAACTCTACCATTGGCAAAAACTCACTCCAACTCTTAAGGGAGTGTACGTATCCTCGAAGTATCTCTTCGAGGACACGATTGGCACGTTCCGTCTGACCATCTGACTCTGGATGATCAGATGTCGACATCTTCAAGCGCGTTCCGAGTGATTTGAACACGGAACGCCAGAAATCAGCAGTGAATCGTGGATCTCTGTCTGATACGAGTTCACGGGGCAACCCATGAAGTCGGAAGATGGTGTCAATAAAGACACAAGCACAGCCACTTGCCGTGATTGACTCTGGTACAGCCACAAGGTGTACCATTTTGCTGAATCTGTCAACAAATCCACGAATACCCGTATTCCCGCGTGCGTCTTTGGATAACCCGAAGACAAAATCGATTGAGATGGATTCCCAGCACTCAGCCGGAACCGGTAGAGGCTGTAAAGGTGCACGCAGTGAAGGACTTGACTTCACTCGTTGACAGACTTCGCATGCGCGAACATACTTTCGCACAAACTGATACTGGCGGGGCCAGTAAAAGTCTCGACTCACCGTGAGATATGTTTTCTCCCGGCCACGATGCCCTCCTATAGGAGCATCGTGATACTCGAACATGATCCGCAAACGCAGATCAGTATCATCTGGAATGACAACATGTGGTGTGTCACCAGTAATGGCTGTATAATACAGTAAACCGTTACGAGTAGTGTATCGATCTGATGCAGATCGATACGCAGACGATAATCGTTTCAACGATTCTCGAGATGGTTGTGAGAAATGTGCCAACAACTTCACAATCTCACCATCTTGGGCGTATGCTCGCCTCACATCATCATACAACGTTGTAGATGGGACTGAGGACGTCATAACCGCAACGGTGACTGTCTCACTGTTGGGTTTCGCGACTGTTTCAAAGTCGGGACGACGTGAGAGTGCAATAGCGACGAAATTAAGTCGTCCTGGTTTGTACACTACCGCAAAGTTGTATTCTGCAAAGAACGACAACCACCGCGCCATTCGTTGTGAAAGGTGCGGGCTGTTCACTGCCGTGCGTAATGACGCATGGTCAGTGTAAACAATGAAGGGTCTATCTCCTAATAGATAGACTCTGAACTTCGCGAGTGCATACTTCATGGCAAGGAGTTCCTTGTCATGCACTGGATAGTTCTGCTCAGCTGGTTGCAGCTGACGCGACTGATAGCAGACGACGCGTTGAACGCCTTCAAGATCGTACTGCATTAATGCACAGCCGATTGCGAAATCGCTGGCAACACAGACCACATGAAATGGCCTGTCCTGATCGGCTATTGCTAGGACTGGGGATTGTATCAAGCTCTGCTTGATACCCTCAAAGGAGCGCTGACATTCAGCGTTCCATAACCACCTTTCGTTCTTTTTCAACAAACGAGAGAGATGTACAGTCATCTCGGCGTAATTGCGTGAATACTTGTGCAAATACGCCGCTAGCCCAAGGAATTTTTGAAGACCTTTGACATCAACCGGCACAGGCCAGTCGGTGATCGCCTTGATCTTTTCGGGATCAGGACGTACACCGTTCTTGCCAACGATGCACCCAAGAAGTGGTATTTCGCTTGCGGCAAATATACACTTCTTGAGGTTTGCACACAATTGATGCTTTCGCATGATTGTAAGAACCTGTCGGACGTGGCATCTGTGAACCTCAACGTCCGACTTTCCATCCATAGCCCGACTATGGATGAATACGTCGTCAAAAAACTCGGTGCGAATTCGCGTACTGGTCTCAACAGATGTGATACACATCTGTTGAACGTGGCAGGGGCATGACTAAGCCCTTGTGGCATTACTAGCCATTCCCAGAGCATGCCGCTAGGCGTGCTAACTGCGGTATAGGGTATATCCCGTTCCCGCATTAGGATTTGATAGAAGCCATCCATCAAATCCATGGACGAAAAGATGGTACTCTTTGACATACCATCAATGATTACGTCCTTCCTCGGTATCGGCGTCTGAGACGGTACCGTTGCAGCATTCAACTTGTTCAATACATGAACTATCCGCCACCCTCCAGTTACTTTTCGCACACAGAAGGTCGGAGAGCTATGTGGGGAAGTTGATTCCCTCACATGACCCGCAGCTAAACGATCGGCAAAGAACTTGTCGATCGCAAGTACTTGTTCACGAGGCAGTGGCCACTGCTTCATGACACAGTACTTCGAGCCTGGTTTAAGCTCGACTTCGTGTCGAATACCTTTATTCTTCGGTAATTCGCACGGAACAGTTTCAGGGAATACATCCTTGAATTTAACCAAATCTTCACAGAGAGGATTTTTCTTGAGCGATTCCCATGATTGGGAGTCATATCGCTCAACTCGTTTCTTTTCATCTAGGACGCTCTCGTCCATAGATGAACTACTGAGAACTCTCTCGTTCTCAGTAAACACTGTTGCTGACCTTATGTCGGTTACACACTCGTCGTCAGCGACGAGTACGCAGATCTGCTTGACTTTGCCACTACGCAGATCACGCAAGAATCTTTTATGTTCGAGCGTTGGCAACTGAGTGATCTCCGAAGTTAACTTCGGAGGCGCAATCAGATCAAGTGTATAAGCGCCTACACATGATCCGTTATTGACTATGACATTCAATGTCTCTGTCATTTCCTGGGGACTTATTCCCTCAGGCTTCGAAGGACTTATTCCTTCGTCTTCCCGGGGACTTATTCCCGCGGGTTTCGGGGAACTTATTTCCGCCGTATTTGTAATCTTGGGACTTATTCCCTTTACTTCCTCTAGCTGGGGTTGCGCAACCACAGCGATATCCTCTACGAAAAACTCTCCAGTCGATCTAGGATTATCGTTTCGCTTAACCTGAGCGATCGATTGTTTCTCTTCTAGATGTTCCCCGCTAGGGATACACCTTTGTCCCAGTCCACTAGACTTATTCGAGTGGTGGACCTTCGGCGCAGCCTGTGTTTTCTCACAGCCGCCGGAACTTTGCTCCGAAGTGTAACCGTTTGGTACACTAAGGTTTTGTGCAGTCGTACTAACGACCGTACCACAAGTGAGGCCATCGCACTCACTCGTAGTACATCCACACGCTTGTGGACGCTCCAAAACGTTCATCAGATGGCCATCTGATGAACAAGCGGCAGGCATCGTTACTGTTCGATGTTGCCAGTTTACCCGTGGTTCGTACCTTCTGAGCCACGGTATTCCAAGGATGACATCAAATTTTTCATCCAAATCCAATACGATAAAGTCATCGTCAAATTGGGTATCTTCTAGCGTATAGTGAATCTTCACTATACGCTTCATGAAGGTTACGGATGCGCCTGTCGCAAGACGTACCGTCATCCTCGTAGGAGGTGTGTCACAGTCACTGAACTTAAAGTGACCATCTTCTAGCGATTGGCGTCGCACAAAATTGTTGGACGCCCCACAATCGACTAGAGCTCGAAGGGACAACTTATTCGTCACCTCGAGTTTCAAGGTAATGAGTGAGACCTCATTACCTAGAGCAGCAACGCACAACGTTTGTGTGTTGGGAGCAACCTTCATCAAGAGGCCTACAAATTCTCTTGACGTTGCTAGACCAGTAGGGTGCTCCGCACCTACTGATCCTGTCCGTTTTTTGACGGTCCATCCCGTTGTTGCGTCTTTGCACCAACTGCGGACCCTCGTCTCTGTCCCTTTCTCATGGGTGGACGGTCACTACGCCCAGTGTCGCGAGACACTGGACGAGGGGCACTACACTCGTAAGCGTAGTGTCCTGTCTTTTGACATCCGTTGTATCTCTGCAACTTCTTGTAGCCTGTAGAGCGAGCCTTCTCGCTCTCTACATAACAGAGTTCCATCGGCTCTGGACCTCCGCTGTCATATCGTCTCGGTTGACGATATGATGTCGAGTGGCGCGAGCCTGTCTTAGACTGAAGTCTTCCTGCTCCGCAATGGAAATGGCTTGTTCTAGTGAATCTAGTTCAAGCCGGAACAGGTGAGTCTTGACGGGACCATCCGCAAGACCCTGCATGAACACCGAAACCAACGTGTGTTCATCCACCGGATTGGAACTTATACAACTCGTGAGATGTCGTATATGTTGCGCGTAAGCGTGCACATCACGCTTACCCTGCTTGAGCTTCAAGAGTTCAGTTCGAGCTCTGAACTGAGCTCTAGGCGGTTCAAACGTTTGTCTGAGCCGCGACTTGAAGACTTCCAACGACCCAAACGCATATGGGTCGTGCAACTTGAGCCCCAGTGCCCAAGTCTTGGCACGTCCTGCCAGATTTGACTGGGCAAATGCAACTTGCATATCCCCGTCGTCGATGCGACGCGCCCTTATGGCGTCGTCTAATTCGACGAACCATCTCAAGAGGGAGTCCTCTTCGACTCCCCTATACTTGGAGATGTCAATCTTCAAGGTTTCGGGTCGACGCGAGTGCATCGACCCACCAGCAGCAGCCTGCTGCTGTCTCAACAGTTCAAACTGTTGAGCTCCCTGTTCTCTCAACAACTCTGCTTGCTGAGAACCTTGTTGGTGAAGCAAGGCTAATTTCTCGCGTTCGGCGTCAAGTTAAATTTGAATGAACTTGGCGATAGTAGCATGTTGGGCATCTCTATTGAGAGCCTCTAGCATGACGCTAACAGCATGGATGCCCATGGTTGAACCCATTCGTTCAACCGCATCCCATTCGACATCTGTAACGGGGTGAATCGTTACATCACAATATATAAGAAATTGTTAATAGAATATAACTATAAGAGTTATATTCTCAGAATATTGTCATAAGGACAATATTCTGTTGCACTTACAAGTAGTTCCTAATTGGTTGATATAGGCCATTATATCAACCAACGAAGACGCGCCACGACAGACGCACGCAATGAGTGGTGAGCAGATAACTGATTTACACATTTGTATTTAGACATAGTTAGATGAAGATAAATAGTGATTTATTGCAGACATTAACTATTATAAATACAGTTCTACTTTTTACTCTAACCAAGTACTCGCTTCTTCTTACCGTCTTCCTCTGCACGTACGAGTGTACGTGAAGTTACGAGGCACCGCCTTATTCTGTTATCAGAATAAGTAGCTTGTACTGTCACCAGTACAAGCTTCAGGGTGCCCCGTTACACCTGGTAGCACTTTGTAGTCCGTCCAAGGACTCGCGTTCACATCCAACATGAATATGTTGGATGATGAAGATGACCAAAGCTTTCACGCTACGCGTGACGGCTACTCCCATTTGAGCGATGTCGAATGGGATGCGGTTGAACGGATGGGTTCAACCATGGGCATCCATGCTGTTAGCGTCATGCTAGAGGCTCTCAATAGAGATGCCCAACGTGCTACTATCGCCAAGTTCATTCAAAATGAACTTGACGCAGAACGCGAGAAAGTAGCCTTGCTTCACCAACAAGGTTCTCAACAAGCAGAGTTGTTGAGAGAACAAGGTGCTCAACAGTTTGAACTGTTGAGACAGCAGCAGGCTGCTGCTGGCGGGTCGATGCACTCGCGTCGGCCCGAGACTTTGAAGATTGACATCTCAAAGTATAGGGGGTCGAAGAAGACTCCCTCTTGAGATGGTTCGTCGAATTGGATGACGCCATAAGGGCGCGTCGCATCGACGACGGGGATATGCAAGTTACATTTGCCCAGTCAAATCTGGCAGGACGTGCCAAGACTTGGGCACTGGGGCTCAAGCTGCACGACCCATACGCGTTTGGGTCGTTGGAAGTCTTCAAGTCGCGGCTCAGACAAACGTTTGAACCGCCTAGAGCTGAGTTCAGAGCTCGAACCGAACTTTTGAAGCTCAAGCAGGGTAAGCGTGATGTGCACGCTTACGCTCAACATATACGACATCTCACGAGTTGTATAAGTTCCAATCCGGTGGATGAACACACGTTGGTTTCGGTGTTCATGCAGGGTCTTGCGGATGGTCCCGTCAAGACTCACCTGTTCCGGCTTGAACTAGATTCACTAGAACAAGCCATTTCAATTGCGGAGCAGGAAGACTTCAGTCTGAGACAGGCTCGCGCCAGCTCGACATCATATCGTCAACCGAGACGATATGACAACGGAGGTCCAGAGCCGATGGAACTCTGTTATGTAGAGAGCGAGAAGGCTCGCTCTACAGGCTACAAGAAGTTGCAGAGATGCAACAGATGTCAAAAGACAGGACACTACGCTTACGAGTGTAGTGCCCCTCGTCCAGTGTCTCGCGACACTGGGCGTAGTGACCGTCCACCCATGAGAAAGGGGCAGGGGACGAGGGTCCGCAGTTGGTGCAAAGACGCAACAACGGGATGGACCGTCAAAAAACGGACAGGATCAGTAGGTGCGGAGCACCCTACTGATCCAGCAACGTCAAGAGAATTTGTAGGCCTCTTGATGAAGGTTGCTCCCAACACACAGACATTGTGCGTTGCTGCTCTAGGTAATGAGATCTCACTCATTACCTTGAAACTCGAAGTGACGAATAAGTTGTCCCTTCGAGCTCTAGTCGATTGTGGGGCGTCCAACAATTTTGTGCGACGCCAATCGCTAGAAGATGGTCACTTTAAATTCAGTGAATGTGACACACCTCCTACGAGGATGACGGTACGTCTTGCGACAGGCGCATCCGTAACCGTCATGAAGCGTATAGTGAAGATTCACTATACGCTAGAAGATACCCAATACGACGATGACTTTATCGTATTGGATTTGGATGACAAATTTGATGTCATCCTTGGAATACCGTGGCTCAGAAGGTACGAACCACGGGTAAACTGGCAACATCGGACAGTAACGATGCCTGCCGCTTGTTCATCAGATGGCCATCTGATGAACGTTTTGGAGCGTCCACAAGCGTGTGGATGTACTACGAGTGAGTGCGATGGCCTCACTTGTGGTACGGTCGTTAGTACGACTGCACAAAACCTTAGTGTACCAAACGGTTACACTTCGGAGCAAAGTTCCGGCGGCTGTGAGGAAACACAGGCTGCGCCGAAGGTCCACCACTCGAATAAGTCGGGTGGACTGGGACAAAGATGTATCCCTAGAGGGGAACATCTAGAAGAGAAACAATCGATCGCTCAGGTTAAGCGAAACGATAATCCTAGATCGACTGGAGAGTCTTTCGTAGAGGATCTCGCTGTGGTTGCGCAACCCCAGCTAGAGGAAGTAAAGGGAATAAGTCCCAAGATTACAAATACGGCGGAAATAAGTTCCCCGAAACCCGCGGGAATAAGTCCCCGGGGAAGACGAAGGAATAAGTCCTTCGAAGCCTGAGGGAATAAGTCCCCAGGAAATGACAGAGACATTGAATGTCATAGTCAATAACGGATCATGTGTAGGCGCTTATACACTTGATCTGATTGCGCCTCCGAAGTTAACTTCGGAGATCACTCAGTTGCCAACGCTCGAACATAAAAGATTCTTGCGTGATCTGCGTAGTGGCAAAGTCAAGCAGATCTGCATACTCGTCGCTGAAGACGAGTATGTAACCGACATAAGGTCAGCAACAGTGTTTACTGAGAACGAGAGAGTTCTCAGTAGTTCATCTATGGACGAGAGTGTCCTAGATGAAAAGACACGAATTGAGCGATATGAGTCCCAATCATGGGAATCGCTCAAGGAAAATCCCTCTATGAAGATTTGGTTGAATTCAAGGATGTATTCCCTGAAACTGTTCCGTGCGAATTACCGAAGGATAAAGGTATTCGACACGAAGTCGAGCTTAAACCAGGCTCGAAGTACTGTGTCATGAAGCAGTGGCCACTGCCTCGTGAACAAGTACTTGCGATCGACAAGTTCTTTGCCGATCGTTTAGCAGCGGGCCATGTGAGGGAATCAACTTCCCCACATAGCTCTCCGACCTTCTGTGTGCGAAAAGCAACAGGAGGGTGGCGGATAGTGCACGCGTTTAACAAATTGAACGCTGCAACGGTACCGGCTCAGACGCCGATACCGAGGAAGGACGTAATCATTGATGGTATGTCAAAGAGTACCATCTTTTCGTCCATGGATTTGATGGATGGCTTCTATCAAATCCTAATGCGGGAACGGGATATACCCTATACCGCAGTTAGCACGCCTAGCGGCATGCTCTGGGAATGGCTAGTAATGCCACAAGGGCTCAGTAATGCCCCTGCCACGTTCAACAGGTGTGTATCACATCTGTTGAGGCCAGTACGAGAATTCGCGCCGAGTTATTTCGATGACGTATTCATCCATAGTCGAGCTATGGATGGAAAGTCGGACGTTGAGGTTCACAAGTACCACGTCCGACAAGTTCTTACAATCATGCGAAAGCATCAATTGTATGCAAACCTCAAGAAGTGTATATTTGCAGCAAGCGAAATACCACTTCTTGGGTGCATCGTTGGTAAGAACGGTGTACGTCCTGATCCCGAAAAGATCAAGGCGATCACCGACTGGCCCGTGCCGGTCGATGTCAAAGGTCTTCGAAAATTCCTTAGCTAGCGGCGTATTTGCATAAGTATTCACGCAATTACGCCGAGATGACTGTACACCTCTCTCGTTTGTTGAAAAAGAACGAGAGGTGGTTATGGAACGCTGAATGTCAACGCTCCTTTGAGGGTATCAAGCAGAGCTTGATACAATCCCCAGTCCTAGCAATAGCCGATCAGGACAGGCCATTTCATGTGGTCTGTGATGCCAGCGATTTCGCAATCGGCTGTGCATTAATGCAGTACGACCTTGAAGGCGTTGAACGCGTCGTTCTGCTATCAGTCGCGTCAGCTGCAACCAGCTGAGCGGAACTATCCAGTGCATGACAAGGAACTCCTTGCCATGAAGTATGCACTCGCGAAGTTCAGAGTCTATCTATTAGGAGATAGACCTCTTCGTTGTTTACACTGACCATGCGTCCTTACGCACGGCAGTGAACAGCCCGCACCTTTCACAACGAATGGCGCGGTGGTTGTCATTCTTTGCAGAATACAACTTTACGGTCGAGTACAAACCAGGACGACTTAATGTCGTCGCTGATGCACTCTCACGTCGTCCCGACTTTGAAACAGTCGCGAAACCCAACAGTGAGACAGTCACTGTTGCGGTTATGACGTCCTCAGTTCCATCTACAACGTTGTATGATGATGTGAGGCGGGCATACGCCCAAGATGGTGAGATAGTGAAGTTGTTGTCACATCTCTCCCAACCATCTCGAGAATCGTTGAAACGATTGTCGTTCTGCGTATCGATCTGCATCAGATCGATACACTACTCGTAACGGTTTACTGTACTATACAGCCGTTTCTGGTGACACACCACGTGTTGTCATTCCAGATGATACTGATCTGCGTTTGCGGATCATGTTCGAGTATCACGATGCTCCTATAGGAGGACATCGTGGCCGAGAGAAAACATATCTCACGGTAAGTCGAGACTTTTACTGGCCCCGCCAGTATCAGTTTGTGCGAAAGTATGTTCGCGCATGCGAAGTCTGCCAACGAGTGAAGTCAAGTCCTTCACTGCGTGCACCTTTACAGCCTCTACCGGTTCCGGCTGAGTGCTGGGAATCCATCTCACGGATTTCGTCTTCGGGTTACCCAAAGACGCACGCGGGAATACGGGTATTCTCGTATTTGTTGACAGATTCAGCAAAATGGTACACCTTGTGGCTGTACCAGAGACAATCACGGCAAGTGGCTGTGCTTGTGTCTTTATTGACACCATCTTCCGACTTCATGGGTTGCCCCGTGAACTCGTATCAGACAGAGATCCACGATTCACTGTTGATTTCTGGCGTTCCGTGTTCAAATCACTCGGAACGCGCTTGAAGATGTCAACATCTGATCATCCAGAGTCAGATGGTCAGACGGAACGTGCCAATCGTGTCCTCGAAGAGATACTTCGAGGATACGTACACTTTAAGAGTTGGAGTGAGTTTTTGCCGATGGTAGAGTTTGCCATCAACAACTCGGTGCATGCGTCCACGACACATACACCGTTTTACGTGAATGGCTTGCGCCATCCGCGTGTACCCACCTTACTAGAGTGTAACTCTGGTTTAAGGGGGGAGGGACTCGCGCGAGCAAAAACCGATTTGGTTCACGCTCATCACGCTCTGACGAAGAAGTCATTGCGTTTGATGCCGATATCGATAACATCGATATCGAAGAAGATGATGCCAGTGAGAGTGCGGAAGCCCTCACTGAAGACAATGATCCCAGTGAGAGTGCGGAAGCCCTCACTGAAGAAAAGGTTGTTGTCGCTGCAGTGCGCTCACAGCACACTGAAGCTAACGAGTCATCAGATGAGTTCATACTGGCTCGTGAAACGGTAGTCCGTTTTGTGCAAGACTCCATCGCCGAAGCGGTGGATAAGCAAAAGCAAAACGCTGACAAGAATGGAAGGGCAAACACTCTTTATTTAATAAAGGTGACTTAGTCCTACTGTCTACGGTTAATCTACCAAAACATGTAGTGACTAACTTGGGTAGCAGTAAACTACTACCCAAGTACATTGGCCCATTTCGTGTATTGCACCGCCTAGGCAATGCATACACGATCGAGTTACCACGTAAGATGCGAACGCATCCCACGTTTTACGTTGGTCGGCTTAAGCCGTACCATCAGTACGCTGCTTCTTCCGATGAAGAACGCCCTTGCGCTCAAGCATCTCGCAGAGAGCCTTGTGCTCCCGATGGTGGATTTCAACGAGGGTCTGAAGAGCAGTTATCTCAGCCCGAGACCGATCAACAATCCCACGAGCTACCCTTAGCTCGTCACGAAGAGATGTCAGAGATCTCTCGTTCTCAAGCTGAGCAAAGGCAAACTCAGCTCGATGCTTCGAGGCAGTGTCCACCATCTGGAGACGCCTATTCCGCTCATGCTCGAGATCGTCGCGTAACCCTTGCGTTACGCGATCAAAGAAGCTCTCGGGAACACACCGATCCACATGATCGTGTGGAGAGCGTCTTTCCTCCTCCTCCACCTCCATTAGAGGACTCTCGCGGTGGCCAGCGCTATCTAGTAGAGCAGCTGTTGAACCACCGCGACGTGAACGGACGTCGGACGAGTTACCTCGTCCGGTGGCGCGGCTATCCCCCGTCCTGGGATTCTTGGGAGCCCCGCTCCCAATTGATGGTTGACGTACTGGGTCTGGTCGAGCAGTACGACGCGACACATCCTGTGCCGCAGAAGGACCGCTGGAGAAAGTCTTCCCGGCACGGTCGTAAAGGGATTTCAGGTTGTCAATCCCTTCGTACATCTCAGTAGAGACACGTACGCGCCACCACGGGCTGGTAAGGAGGTAAGCCTCCTTAGGTGCTCGTGCAGAGTTGTTCACACAACATGGGCACGAGTCTCCCCAAGAGAGGCAGGGTAATCCTTTCTCCCTTGACAGACGATGCAGCTTGTAGCGTGCACCTGTCGGGGTTCGCTTTTCAAACTTATCACGAGCTTTGATAAGTTTGTCGTTCCAAGCGTCACGACCTACATCCTCGAGATTATGGATGTAGGCGTTCCACGCCTGAAGTAGTGAGGGACCATCACGTTTGTGATTCCCACTGTACCATCGATGTCTGAAGAAAGCATCGATGAAGAACTCATGTTCAGCGCGATAGTCTTTCGCGCTGGGGTCAAGGTGATGAATCCTCGACGAATCGAACAATCGTGTTCGATAACGATCACTCGTCGTCGCCGACAAGTGATCCATGACAGATTTAGGAGGCATCCATGCCTTCTTTTCTGGAGCGAGACGCAACACATTGCGGTCCCGCTCTTCCTGCGACGTGCCGACAGAAGTACTGGCACTCGCTGTGAAGTGGTGTCCATTGGAGAAACGACACCACTATTAGCGCCCGAGTCTCGCGACCTCGAGCGCCTTCGTTGGCGATGGTTCATCTGACTCATCAGATGAACCAAAGATGCTGCGACGCAAAGCATCGTCCATGCCACGCTTGGCAGGCGGCTTGGATTCAATTGCCGTCGATACGGATCCGTCATCCGTATCAGGAGAGTACGAGACACCGAGCTCGTACTCTGTGAAGACACGAGTGTCTTCATGACCAGCGCCTGCATCACCAGGTGATACAGGCTGAGTCAATTCAGCAACCGATGGGACATCAGTTGCTGTAGTTTCTGCTTCGGCGTCCGCACAGAGACGTGCAGACGCGCTCTCGGCGGCCTTGCTCGCGCATCGCATGGGCTTGTTTACCATGCGATGAGATGTTGGAAAGTGGACGCGGACCAACAAGTGCAAACCCCGTCCCAAATGATTTGGGACGAGTGTCCATTTAGTCAATCAGTCACTAAAGTGACTGATGGATAAGAGGGGGGGGGTGATGTAACGGAGTGAATCGTTACATAACAATTTATAAGAAATTGTTAATAGAATATAACTATAAGAGTTATATTCTCAGAATATTGTCATAAGGACAATATTCTGTAGCACTTCCAAGTAGTTCCTAATTGGTTGATATAGGCCATTATATCAACCAACGAAGACGCGCCACGACAGACGCACGCAATGAGTGGTGAGCAGATAACTGATTTACACATTTGTATTTAGACATAGTTAGATGAAGATAAATAGTGATTTATTGCAGACATTAACTATTATAAATACAGTTCTACTTTTTACTCTAACCAAGTACTCGCTTCTTCTTACCGTCTTCCTCTGCACGTACGAGTGTACGTGAAGTTACGAGGCACCGCCTTATTCTGTTATCAGAATAAGTAGCTTGTACTGTCACCAGTACAAGCTTCAGGGTGCCCCGTTACAACATCGCTCAATAGGAGTAGCCGTCACGCGTAGCGTGAAAGCTTTGGTCATCTTCATTATCCAACATATTCATGTCAGATGTAAACGTGGTCCTTGGACGGACTACGAAGTGCTACCAGGTGTAACGGGGCACCCTGAAGCTTGTACTGGTCACAGTACAAGCTACTTATTCTGATGACAGAATAAGGCGGTACCTCGGAACTTCACGTACACTCGTACGTACAGAGGAAGACGGTAAGAAGAAGCGAGTACTTAGTTAGATGAAGATAAACAGTGATTTATTGCAGACATTAACTATACTGAATACAGTTCTACTTTTTACTTTAACCATGTCTAAATGCAAATGTGTATATCAACTATCTGCTCACCACTCATTGCGTGCGTCTGTCGTGGCGCGTCTTCGTTGGTTGATATAATGGCCTATATCAACCAATTAGGAACTACTCGTAAGTGCTGCAGAATATTTGTCCTTATGACAATATTCTGAGAATACAGCTCTTATAGTTATATTCTATTAACAATTTCTTATAAATTGTTGTGTAAAGAATCACCCCGTTACAGTATCAGCACGTTCATATCCACACTTTTTCGTATCCACATACGTTCAGATCAACACATTCGTACCTTGACGTACCCTCGTGATGCTTCCGACAATCTCCACCCGGTAGCTACTTCAGTGCTCGTAGAGTGTCGCACAGTATTATAAGCAATACTCAAAAGAAAAAATCAAGAAG